TCTCTCTCTCTCTCTCTCTCTCTCTCTCTCTCTCTCTCTCTCTCTCTCTCTCTCTCTCTCTGTGTGTGTGATAACACGAATCTCATCTTCACAGCACCAATGCAACACACAGGTTCACACAGACTCAACCAGACTCACACAGATTGAAACAAACTCCAACAGACTCACACAGACTGAAATAAAGTGACACAGACTCACCCAGACTGCTACAGACTACCACCGACTCACACGGACTCACCCAGACTCAGCCAGACTCACATTGACTCACACTGACTCACGCATACTCACACTGACTCACACTGACTCACACATACTCACACTGACTCACACTGACTCACACTGACTCACACTGACTCACACAGACTCAAATAGACTGACAGAGACTCACCCAGACTCACACTGACACACAGATTCACACAGACTCACACTGAATCACCTAGAATCACCCATACTCACACAGATTCACACTGACTCACCCTGAATCACCCAGAATCACCCACACTCAGACAAACTCACCCAGACTCACACAGACTCAAACAGACTCTGACAGACTGACACAGACTCACACTCACGAATCTCACCTTCACAGAAGCAATGCAACACACTTGATATGGTCGTCCTGACTCACACATGTTCACACTGACTCACCCAGACTCAACCAGACTCACATAGACTCAAACAGACTCCAACAAACTCACACAGACTGAAACAGAGTGACACAGACTCACCCAGACTGCTACAGACTAGCACCGACTCACACGGACTCACCCAGACTCACCCAGACTCACATTGACTCACACTGACTCACACTGACTCACACAGACTCACACTGACTCACACAGACTCACACAGACTCACCCACACTCAAACATTGCCTCTTTCCCCGGCTAATTCACACCGACTCACACAGATTCACACTGACTCACACTGACTCACACTGACTCACACTGACTCACCCAGAATCACCCTGAATCACCCAGACTCACACGGACTCACACAGACTCACAGGGACTCACACTGACTCACACTGACTCACCCTGAATCACCCAGAATCACCCGGACTCAGACAGACTCACCCAGACTCACACAGACTCAAACAGACTCTGATAGACTGACACAGACTCACACTGACCCACATGGACTCACGCAGACTCACCTTGACTTACACAGGCTGACCCGGACTCACACAAAGCTAGACGGAATTACACAGACGCAACCAGACTGGTCACAGAGTCGCACAGACTGCAGGGACTCGTACAGACTCACACCGGCTCACCCAGACTCACACTGACCCACATGGAGTGACACAGACTCACCCAGAGTCACACAGACTCACCCAGGCTCACCCAGACACACACACACATACACGGACTCATACAGACTGACACAAATTGAAGCAGAGTCATCACAGACTCGAACGGACTGACACGGACTCACACAGAGTGACGCAGACTCAAACACAATCAAGTCCTTTAGATGGGTACTGGACGCCGTTTACGAAATGATGGCGAGAACGTCCATGTTCAAATGGACCGCATTTGCCAACCAGACATTTATTTTCACTTGCATCTACGTGTTTGTGCACATGTGCTTGTGACTCTTGATGCGTCAGGATCATTTTCACTCACTGTATGTGGAAGTGTTAACTTGCATGAAAACTCACCGATTTTTCTGTGGACAAACAAGTGTGACCATCCATACATCACCGATGTCGACACGGCCAATGAGATGTGCACAAGGGGACAAACATACGAAACGAAAACACAATGTCATTACGGCACCGAAAATAATGGTTGTCGTGATGTAGCGCCATGTGTCCAATTTAGGCGGAGGATAAGGGACCCATATCTCACCGCTCTTAAAGGCGAGGCAGTGCTTGCCCCCGTTCAAGCCTGGCTGCACCTTGCCGGGCTCCCAGTTGATATCGTACAGGAATTGCATTCCTGCTTCAGTCTTGGTGATACAGTCACTACCAACTGTGCAGATCGGAGTGTCTTCGTTGCCTGTCCCCTCGCCGTTATCCACGTCCTCATTTGCAACCACGCAAATGACACCCAACATTTCCTTTGATTCCATTTGCAACGTCCTTTCTTGGTTGGTATCGTTACCTGCCACCCCTCTCCCAGGACTGCGAACGCACTGCTTGTGAGCATCTTCTCTTGCTATGACGTTCGATATATCTTGATACAGGTCTTCGGTTGTGCATGCAATAGTCTCGACCGCCATGTTCGTGGACACATTTGACTTCTCCATCTATAAGACGAGACATGACAGACATGTTGGAGAACATGTGACGACCGACACGTTATTCATATGTGTGTGAGAGAGAGAGAGAGAGAGAGAGAGAGAGAGAGAGAGAGAGAGAGAGAGAGAGAG